ATGTCTGATATATTATCTTAAGCTCTCTCGCGCTCTCTCTCTCTCCCTCTCCCTCTCTCTGTTTATCTTGTGCTCTCTTGCGCTAACAATAAACGCTGGCGACAATGCGGCGCTCACATGATCGAGCGAAAGCTGCCCTCTGTCATTGTTGTTGCTGTTTCTGCTGTCTGACGTTGGTACAGTCCCGAATCGCTAGCGTCGCAGTCGTCGCTGCCGTCTCGCCATCACGCTGCTCATTATCATAATCACGCCAGCAGCGGCAACAGCGACTGCGACGCACGCCGTTCCCCAATGTCCGCCCACCAAGCAAGGTCATGGCCTGGTACGCCTGCCTGCCTTTCGCTACTGCAGGTGCGCTTCGAGGTTGAGATGAGGCCTACGAAGCCATGAAGCTTAGCAACTAGGAAATCAAACCTTACTTTTGGCATAGCAGAATATTTATTTATTCAAATTTATAAAGTGAATAAAATTAAAATTTATAGAGCTAGCCATCAGCTACATCTACTGGCCATTTATTGGCAATCCGCTCCTGTCTCCATGCCAACAGTAGCTAATCTATTCTCTCTCTCTCTGTTATCTTTTACAGTCATCACAGCTTGGGTCTGTCTGCCTCGCTGCCCGATTTGGTTGGCAGCCCATTGGAGATCAACATGGACAGCGTGCTGACCATTGAGGAGCTGCGCCAACATTTGGGCTCGTGCTTTACATGCGGCGTCTCCTGGACCGATGATCATGTCTCGCTCGATTGCAGCGAATGCGGCGGCTATAGCCTGGAGCGTCCCTGCCCTCTGTGTGATGGCCAGTGTGGTGTGCAATGGAAGCGTGACTTTGCTATGGTGAGTTGCTTGGAGCGGCTGCAGTCCTGAGAGTTCAATGACTAAATTCTCGGTTCTCTGCTTTTACAGTCGCATGCATGCAGCAAAGCACGTTGGGTTGGCGTCTGTCTGAGTTTTCCGGAAGCAATGGCCGCCGCTGTGCAACAGCTGCCCGTGGCGAATAATGTGCCAGCAACAACGGCCACATCGTGTGCTGCCGCCGCAGCGAATCAGCTGCGTCTCGCCCAGGAGTTGTGCTCGCGCCTGGAGCAGCTGTCGACCGCATCGTCATCGGCGCCCAACAAAATGACGCGTCTCTGAAGCGTTCGCCGTGGGCGTGATACAGTACAGTGTTCCTTTTCAAAATGTGTTGGCGCCACCTAAACTACAAGCACACGCACAAGCACAAGCATCATCAGCCATTTGCCATCAGCCACATGCCACATGCCACACCACGCAACATGAGCCAACAAAACAAACACACATAAAGTCCACACCACATTTATTATTTTATTGCTGCATTGGAGAGAGCCGTTGTCATGGAGGAGAATCTCTCTCTCCCACTCTCACTTCATATTTAAATTAAGTGCTTAAATTAACTAAGCTTTTTATTAGCTCTTAGTTTTTTCTTTTTCTTTATTGAATTCTTCTTCTGCTGGAAACCTTTTATTGTTGTGCACGCGTTGAGTTTTAGCGAGAATTAATGTAGCTTGTGTTGAATTAGCGTTAAGCAGTTAATTAATTATTTGTTTACACTGTACACAAACACACACACACACACACTCTATGCTTATCTTAAAGAAGAAGAGACTACATTTAGCTTGAACTTAAGTCCAGTTTAAGCGCCTTGCTGCGCAGTGATAAAGGTGATATTAGCCAGAGAAAATGTTTAACGCAAAATATTCGTAAACAAATAGTGAATTTAATAATTGTAGACAAATGGAAAGTCCAACGATCTTAAATAATTGTTAATATTTTTAGTTTTTATTGTTGGTTTAACGAATCGCCAAATTTTTGCGCACAAATCAAAAAAGAATTAAAAAATTACAAACAAATCGTTGGAAATATTGCAAAAAAAGAAAATTGAACAAGAATCTTCCATAGTAAGTCTAATGCTCAACACACACAGATACACAGAAATCAGCAAAGAAATCAATGCATAAATCAACACAAAGAATAAAATGCTAAAAAGAGAAGAGAAGAGGAGAAGAAAGAAAAACAATTGGGAAAGTAAGCATTACTCAAAAGAAAGTTGAAGATTTTCTGTGAAAATCCATATGACATATAATAATATATATAAATATAAATATACCTAGAAGTTTATACCTTATATATACAACCTATACATACATATATATATATATCTACTATAGCTACATAAAGTATATACACATATATATTATATATATTTTTAATGTAGAGATATGTTTTGTAAAAGACAAGCATATTTTTAAAATTCAAAAATATATTCAAAAAATGCAAAAATCAAATGAAAATTGTTATAAATTATTATTGAAGGGGGGCGCGTTCTATATAAGCTATATGCACACACGAGCTGCAATGAAAGGCAGAGATTAAAAAACGCCCGACCTTATCAGCACACCTGATAGTGTTTCTATGGGACGCCCAGCCTTTGAAGGTTAAATGAAATGACTTAACTAAACGGCTTTAGACATGCAATTATTCAAATATACGGTGTATATAGGTTTCGGTTTTTTAAAGTACGCTGCCTATTGCTCATAAATTTTGGAGCTGCCCTGTATATAGCATTGTCGTTGCTATAACGGTATTTAACATGCACATATATTTCATTAACTACCTTGTACCACATTCACTTCCTTGTCGCTGCTGCCTACAGGTTTGTCAACTGTAAATTAAGCACACACGCACACACACTACTCATAAAGTGAACGCTAAATTTTACACCAGACTGTGTAGCCTTTTTACAGTTTCATTTTTAGTATACACACACATAAATCTGAAATGCTGTATGGGCACCTAATTTAGCGGAAAATGCCAAAGCTGTGTAAAAAATATATACATATGTATGTATAAAATCAGATTTATGTGAATAATTATATATCGCTTAATGATTGGGAAAAATAATAACTACAGGCAATTGATGGGCAGAGTATGTGAATGAATATATGAATATGAATAAACAAACAATAGCGGTGCTTAATATAAGTGCAAAATAAGTGTAGTTTTATAAAAAAAGAAAAGAATTGAAAACAGTTTTTGCCATTTTTAATTTTATAGTTAATTGGAACTTAGGCAATTAAGCATAATGTTGACCTTGGGATATATGCAAAAAAAAAAAATGTTTGTATATCTATTATATTGTTTGCATTTGTTTTATATTATATATACATATGTACACATATGTATGTTTTAGTTTTATTTTAAAAGCTAACAAGTACATATACGATAATCTGTCTTACTTTTAAGCAAGTTCTTCCCGTCCAAGGGGATTTTTTTTTCAACCCTAATGCGAAAGTTTTGTTTTATTTAAATCACCTGTGACAATGCTGACTGCACTTATATAAATATAAATATTACTAATTTTGTTTAATATAATATTTTTTATATATAGTTTTTTGGCAATTTTTTTTTTTATAAATATATCTGCATCAAAATTGTATACATAATCATACTAAGCTCTGTTATTTTGTAAGTTAAAAAAGAAGCCTAATCTACTCCTATATCATTCTAGCTAATGGTTCATTCGTAAAGTTCATTCATTAAGCTGTTTGCCCATTGAGCATTATCAATTGGAATTCCTCGCTTTATTTGAAATTTCCTGTGAGATAAGTTAAGACTAAGGCTAATTTACAATATGGATTTAGTTTTGAAGAGGTCTGACGACAGGGGCCCCATGTAACTGGAAATCAATAGGCTATGGGTAATTCCTGCATATATCTAGGGTATCAGGCAGTCAAATACAAGGCACAACTTTCACTTACCTGTTTTTTCGTATTTTGTTTCAAAACGAATTCACCTGGGATGACTTCAGGCAACAGCAGAGGCAGAGACTGCGGCTGCGAGTGCGGCAGCTGCGGCGTCGCTGCTGCTTGTACCAGGCGGGCGGCGAATTGAGGAAGGCCAGGTTCACATCAGCTGCTGCTGCGGCTGCTTGTGTAGCGAGTTAAGCTGGCTTATAGCAGCCGTATTCAGTTCAGTTCACAATGCATTTACTCACAGCTGTGTGGCAGTTGCTCGTACAGGTCTGCTTCGTTTCCTGTCTCTGGGCTGGGCAAATGCGGCTTCAGCTCGTCGAGCAGCTCGTACAATTCCTGGGCATCCTTGCTGATGCTGCACAGCTCCTCCTGCTGGAAGTCCGGATTGATTTGCTTGCACAACAGAATCTGGCTGATGACGTTGCCCAGATTCGAGGGCGCCGTGCGAGCGGGTGCTGGAAAAGGAATTGAGTGGCAGAGCTTCTAAGTGGAGACTCCCCAATTTACCATAGTAATCCGTCATATCATATGGCACCAGCTGTATGAGGCGATGGCTCTTGAGCAGCTCGTGGCGGAATTGCTGCGTCAGCTGATAGAGCAGCGACAGATTCAAGTTCCCGCTCGCGCTGCCCTGACAGTGTTTGGGTTGCGGCGTGATCAGGTGTGCCGTATGCTTGCACGCATCCACGCAGCTACGACGCAAGCGGCGAATTTTCTCGCGCAACTCCGGGGAATCCCGTGATTGTCCTATGAAGATGAGCAGCTCACGGAATTGGGCCACATAACAGTTGATTTCCATGATGAGCTAAGAGCATTTAGAGAGAAAGAGAAAGAGAGAAATAAGCTGACACATTTGCGACTCCCATAATTGCATAAGTTTCACCTTTTGCGGATCGCGCGTGGGCAGCAGCAGCTGCGGCAAGTAGATGGACAAGCGATGCGCTATGATGGTTGAGTTTCGAATGGCCAACGCTGTGCTGCTGGTCACGCCGCCAATGGCGGGCAGCTTATCGCCGTAGTCCAAGCCACCAACGTTGGCCATGCTTGGATGCTGACTGCGACAGGTCTGCGGCTCTGCGGCTCTGTGGCTTCTGACCAGGCATTTCTGCGCCGCTCGAAAGTATGCTATAAAAAGTACAAGAGCATGTGCAGCTGCATGTTTGTGTGAGTGTGTGTGTTTCTGCTGCTGTCTTATGCAAGCAAATTGCGGACTGTCTCATTACCTTGTGTCAACAAGTCATGGCTGCTAAACAACAACAAAAAACCAGAAACACGTAAGAATGTGTCCCATGATAGCCTATAGAGATACTCTGTAAGCGCTTGATTGTGATTTGGCTGAAGATCAGCTGAAATACAAGAGAGACTTACAAATTTTCTTTTTTATTATTTTTAATTGTTATAAAGTTTCAAATATTCCCTCGTTACTAAAAAATAGGGTATATTAATTTTAATAATTTTATTAACATTCAAAAGTGTTTTCTTTGCTTTTTGTTATTTTCCCACCCTCTTAAATTCTACAAAAACTAAAAAATATTATATCTCATATTTTACAGGGTATATAATTCGCGTCCCTACATGTCCACATTTGCCAAGTTCTGTTGCATGTTGCAAGCATACGAAGCCACTAATGAAACCATAATCACAACTGTTAGAAAAAAATGAAGAAATAGAAGGAGAGAGGAAGAATAGGGAAAGAGGTGTAGAAAAAGAGAGGTAGGGAAGGCCATTTCAATGAATAACTTGTTGGGTCCATGACGGGCATTTAATAGTTGTTTGACTAAGCGCTGAGATATTACACAAGGAACGAGATTCAGATCAAATTTTCGAGAAAGGTTACCAAACTTTTGTTAACCATAAGTAAAAGCTTGTATATACCTTATGTAAAATATTGATATATCATTGTTTTATCATACATAAATTAAATTTTTGGATTTATTCGTTTCTGAGACAATTATGATATGATATACGATGCTAATCTTCATCCTCATCGCCTTGAAATGATGCGATGCTATTATTGGGACTAACCATATCAATATAAAGATCCACGCTGTCAATATCGATCATGTCCAGCTCGGTGTAGATGGTCTCATCTGTGATATTTCTGGTGGGATCCTAAGAGGGGTTTGTAAAAAAAGCAATATAAAGAAAAAGTTAAGAGAGTATTAAGGAATAATTTCGGTAGTTAACAATATTACTAATGAGTTTAGAAAGGAATAAGCAGAGTGGCTTAAGAAGGAAAAGAGCTTACATAAAGAAAGGACAGAAATTGAGGATTACTAGGCAGAGTTAAGATTAAAGTTGAGTCAAATATAAACAGGGGAGTTGGTGAAGCAATTGTTATTAGTCTTACAGCTCTAGCATATTTCCAGCATGAGATGGCATTCATGTTGTTGCCCATTTGGAGATTGATCAGAGCCAGAAAGCCCCAAACGTCGGGCACATGCTCAGCAAATTTGGTGCAGTTAATGAAGCACTCCATGGCCTTGCTAATATCATCCAGTTTGTAGTAGGCCTTGCCCATTAAATAGCTGGTGATCAATGGTATCAGCCGGCCCACTTTAGGCAGATTCAGGGCATTGATGGTCAACTGATAGTCACCCGCCTCATAGGCGATGTAGGCCAGACGCAATTTGCTGATCATGAAATCATCTCGTGCGGGAACAGGGGCGCCTTCCTCTGGCAAATTCTTTGTATAAAATTCGGCCGCAAGATCCATATTACCACGATGATATTCTACATTGCCATTGAGTTGGGCGTTGAAGCCGGCCTAAATAGAAACGAAGTTGAGCCTCAATTAAACTCGATTGAGCAACAATTGGTCAAGGCTCACCAGCAGATCCTCATCATCAACGTCCTCGAATGAGAATGTCTGCGTTTCAAAGTCCTCCTCCAGTTGATTGAGAAAGATCTTCAGTTGTGTGCTTATCATATAGTTGTCCGCTAGGCTGCAATCGTCCTGCACGTCCTCCCACACGACCTGAGCGAACTCGTACAGGCCCAAGCACACAAACATCCTAAAGGTTTCGTAGAAACTGTAGCTGCGCTGACGGTCAAATCGCGGACAGTGATTTAGCATGATGGACCAAAGGCTCTGCGGCGACGCCGTAGTCTGCTCAGTTGTCCTCTTCTCATAGTTCTCGAGACGCCAGCGAGCATAGGAATAGCCAGGTGCATAGTTGAATCTCTTATAGTAGCAATAGAGCAATATCCAGCCATCTGGCCGGTTGGAGCAGTGCTCCGCATAGAGTGTTATGCTGTTCAATAGGCACTCATTCGCATTGGTCGACACTGTCGGCTCTGGGTCATCCCGTGTGGCCACATAGTCCAGGTAAATGCGTATCCAACCACTGGACAAAAGCTCTAGCTGTAGATCATTTGAATGGATAGTTCGATGTGTGCTCACTTACACAGAGTATTCGTGGTCAACCGATAGGACTTTCTGCGTCTTGAAATAGGCTTTGGCTGCTGCATATTCGCCATGCTCCACTTTGCTGATCAAATCAAAGAACTCAAATAGATTCACATACTTGTTTGAGTTTTCCTAAAGGAAAAATGAATTGAAATGGGTGCATTGAAGAAACGACTTATCTTTAGATTGATGCTTAACTGGACGCGCTGCGAAGAACTTATCATTCATATTGCCACATAGCCAGCCAGTGACCTTATTGAGGAACAAAGTGCCCATGCGCAGATCCCCAACGGCCCTCATAATTTTGATGGTATTCAAATGATCCATTAGTTTCTCCTCTTGAATCGCTCTGTCTATAACGATCTCGTGGAGGCCCTCATCTTCCATCTTCTCCAGCAGATTGTGAATGCGTTGCTCCAGCTCATTGTGTGCAATGGCACACAGATTCTATAGCATCATTAAGATTAAACTATATAATTAAACTATATAATTAAATGGATTAGACTAACGGAAAACTCGACATTCGAGCTGGTGCGCATGCGCGTATTGAAATCACTTCCGACAACTTTCAGCAAAATATTGGATAGATTCTGTAATTCGCAACAGAAGTGATTTCGTTTCTGCTGCACGTTGAATATCCGTTTGTCGAGTATATAGCGGATCGTCTCCCGTATGAAGGAATCGAAATCGGCATAGGCCAAACGCTGAATATCACTCAATGGCAATAAGGGCACTTCGATTAGCTTATTTTTGCAGAAAAGCAAACGATTTTGGCTAATGAAACTAGTGTGGAACGTTTTCAGCTCATCGTACACCTGTCCCAATGGGGCCAATTGGCATAGATTGATTATGGCAAACGTGGGCATATCCACTTCTAACTGTTGGGTTAATCGATTGGATGGATTAGTAATACTTAATAAGCTTCCCGGCTTGAGCTTGACTGGCTTCTTTCTCACGCCCAAGTATTTCAGTTCCACAGCGAAGCGCATTCCGCGCACTGAAAGAAAAGTTCAGAGTTCATTTCTTGTGTAAGTGGACAACAAGTGGACAACAATGCAAAGAGAATTTATGTATACATATGTATTTTCGTAAATACCTATATGTGAATCGATATTGTCCAATATTACGAATGTAATCCATTTATATTATCTTATAATCTTACATACTCTTACTATAAGCCTATATACATACATACGTCTTTGTCGATAACAATTACTTCAATTACTTACCATCAGGGTAGAGTAGAATGGCTGGATCTAGTACGCCTGAGAAAATTTTCTTATTGACCATTGCTGTAACCACACGCTTGCCCTCCTTTTTCTCCATTGGAATCATATTGAAGACGTCGACAGCAATGACATATCGCCGCCAAGCGAATGCCATGAACAGTGTATCTGACATGCCTTTGGTGAGTATATAGCGATGGAAGGTATTGCAGATCAGAGCGTTATCCTCTTTCACATTGATCAGATCAAAATTGACATCCATATCCTCCGATCGCATTAGCTGAGAAAATAGCTTATGCATCTCCACGCCCATGCTGGACTTGAGTCCAATGCCGCAGCTATCGGGCACAGTCTGGCGAAAGTATTCGAATACATGAAAAGTTGCTTGTTCAGCGATGCAGCGTTCAGTGAATAAGTTAAAGCTACACAAGGGTATCACATGATACTCAGAACGATCTACAGGCTGCATAGATCGAAAGCTCAACTGTACATTCAAAGACTCCGTATCAATGATATAATCGTCCTTCAAGTTGTAGATCGACTCGAATATCACGAAGGCCATGTTAGTAAAGGACACTTCCTTGACAATGGGCACGAGAGTATACAGATGCCATTCGGTTATTATTGTGTAGCGCAGTTTTGGTGGGCAATCGGGCACTGGATAGAGATAGAGTTGTTCGTGCAGCATACACCGGTGATGGCCAAATAACTTAATTATATCGAGATAGCCCACAGACAAGAGGATCATCTCGACTTTAGGCTCATAGTGATCAAGTTCATCACTTTCGTTGGGAACAATATCGACTTTATCTATTAGCGTAGACAATAATTCGGATGTCTCCATTTCCAATTGCATCTCCTCGTCCTCATAGTGTATCGGTTCTTCAGTCTTGCGCATATACAGCTTAATAAGCAATGGATTGTCGGATGCATGATTGATTCGGTCTAGATTGTCCTGCTGGAATATCAGCGTAAATGTCGGCTTGGATGAGAACTCTTCCTGTGTTATGATTCCTTCATCATTATAGTGTTCGACACATTTAAGAAGAAGACTACCGCCTTGATCCAAATGAATTTCCAATGGACCGAAAAAATCTGGCACCGTTTCCACACTGGCCAGCTGTATATATAGAAATATATTGGGCGGCAGCGGTTTGCCATCGGTTGGATCTCCCACACTGGCAGGAGATTTTTTGTCTTTCTTTCGTGGCATTCCTATTTTATTTGAGGACTACAACAAGTATATATATAATTTATAATTCGTATTTAGTTTTACGTTAAAGGCAATGGCCAGCAAATTCAAATATCTTATTCGAATATCTTATTTAGCGCGAGTTGGCATGCTGGCGCTCATAAAAACAATCGTGCCTATCGATAATATCGTCCATTCGACCAGCTACCGCAGCCCTGGTCTGGGCAGCCAACACGTGAAACGCGCAATGGACAACAAAATATTATGCAAGCAGCGAACATTTTTGTGTGAAAATTAAACAAATTTCGTGATCAAACGTTGCAGTTACATATCAAACATGTATCGTCTGCTGGGCGCAAATGGCGCTGCAGCCATGCATCGAGTACTGCGCCTGCCAGCCGCAACAAGCGGCTGCAGCTGCTGCTGCAAGGGAGGCAGCGAAAGCAGCGCTGCGCATAATTTAATACAATATCAGCAATATTATCAAATGCTCTATCGCCCGGCAAGTGAGTAGCTGTAATAAAGCACAATAATGAGCAAAAGATTAATGAAAATGTATTTGATAGCATTAACAACAGTTACAGTACGCCCACAATCAACAACGCCCACCCAAACAGATGCCCTGGCGCTGGCGAAAAAAAAACGTTTGCGAAAACCGCGCTACGCCAAATATGTGGATCTGCTAGAAGGTAAGCAGAATAGTTTTTTATAAATAAAGAAGATAATGTCTGACATATTTGTCCAACAGTCACCGAACTCACAGCCAGTGAGCGTAAGTCCCGCGTAAAGCGTCTGAAATCGAAAAAACTCGCCGAATTCATACAGAAAACCCAAATGCAAATCTTGGATAAACGCGCACGTGAAGAGCGACGCGTTCAGAAGAACGCTAAAGCGGGCAACGATGAAGCCATATTACGACAACCGGCGGAGTATCAAAAGATCGAGCTGGATGCCGTTGCTAGCTCCCTACTAGAAGCCGGCCTGTACGATGATAAGCCACTGATTTTCTTTGGTAAAGATACATACACCAAACAGATCATATCCAATCCGACGGAGGTGCACAAGATTATCAAAAGTTTTGAGAACTATCGCGACATCATTGAGGGCATGGGGAACGAGGGACACGAGCATATCGAGGCGGACCTAGCCAGCTTTGGGTAAGCTAGTTGCCTGACCTCAACTCAAGCATTCACTAACCTGAAATGCATTTAGGTTAAATGCGCCCAAGCTGTCAACTGCATCGCAGCTCCTAGATCCTTTTGAGACAATTGAACCTTATATTGAGGAATCCCATAAACCAGTTGCTCCTGCAGAAAGCCAGCCTAAGGTTAACGCCGTCACAACGAAGTCCAAGAAACGGTTAGTCCCACAACATCTTACGTAATCTTCCAATCAATTTAATTTTCCCACTTTCATTAACAGCTTCAAGTCAAAGGTGCACATCTCAGAGGAACAGGAGCGTCAGGCCAAGCAACGTGCGCTGGTCATTAACTTAACTACGTATCTGAATGTTTGCGTCTCGGCCAATATGCTGAACCGTGCTCTCTCCACAATCTTCGCTTATCGTAGTCGCGCCAAGAAGAGTTACCAGAGCACACCTGGCATGAACCTAATTACCATTGATCTATACAATATTTTGTTGCATGGTTATGCCGGCAAAGGCTCCTTTGATCGTTGCCAGGAGCTATGCAAGCTGATTAATGATGATGGTCTGGCGTTTAGCGAGCAAACCTATGCGGCAATTTTTGAGTGCCTGGGTAGAGTGGAGCCAAATGCTCAAAATCAAGAGTTTATTGAGCAGTACATAGCAAAGGCGGAGCAGCAGGGGTTCAGCTTAAACCAGATAATGGATCGCTCCAAATTTATATCTGATCAGCGTGACATAGCGTTGGATGCTATCAGGAGAGTCCGTCCGAACTTTACTCCTGTTTATGTGCCGCCCCAGCTGGGTTACGATAACGAGCTGCTTAATGATCTCAATGCTCAGGTGCAGCCCGTGGGTGCGGAGACAGCACAAGAGGAATCCATCATCATGCGGTCAAAGCGTGGCTATACTAAAACTCAACTGGAGCAGCTAGCACGTGAACAACTGCAGGTGGAGTTGGACGGTTGCATAACCATCAAATCAATTGAAAAGACTAAGGAATTTGCTAATGCTGAATATTGTGTAAGTTGGTAGAGGTTTATTATTATTGAATATACATTAATTATTTTAATTCATGCAGCGCACTAAGCTAAGTGAGCTCGAGCAGACCTGGCGTAAACAAATCTCTGCTGCGATTGTTCGTGATCTGAACACGTTGCGTGCTCAGGTGCGCTTCAAGCCGCACGGCTATATGAACTACTATACGTACCTAAAGGTCCTTGACACACATCACTACGCGGACATACTCATCAAGGAGCTGTACAAACTAGCCGAGGGCTCTGAAACCTTTAGCCCAACAGTGGGTCAACTGTTTAAGGAGCTCGGCCAGAAGGTGCAGCAATGCTATCAAATCGAATTGAAGAAACACAATGGAACCCTCGAAAAGATTGGAGAGATTTACAGCGATTATTGCGATTTATGGGCTAACGGACATACGGAGGATAATACGCGACAGATGTGGCAGCGATTAGTGCACGAGCAGCGACACAGCGGACCATCAATGGATTTGCCCGATGTGCCCTGGCCTAACAATGTACTCTCCGGTGTGGGTCGTTTCCTCTACAATATACTGATGCGCGACATTAAAATCGATGCGCATATCATGCGTCAGAGGAGCAACAAATCCAAGGCAACCGGGACGACGTTGCCACAGAATATGCTGCCCGCCTTCTATACGCTGTTCCGTAACCAGGGTCGGCTCGTCAAGGAGGAGGTAAAGCCGCATCCAGTACTGTCACGTCTTCTGCGCGCCTCTCGTCAACAGACGCTCACCTTCGACTCGAATTTGGTGCCAATGTTGTGTCCGCCTCAGCCCTGGAGTACTCCTCATAATGGTGGCTACTTGCTGAACAAATCGGAGTTGATACGATTGCCCCATCAGGCTGTGCAACAGTGGGAGCGCATACATGCCTCCAATCCGCAGTATCTCTATCCGGCCCTCGATTCGCTTAATCAGCTGGCTAGCGTGCCGTGGCGTGTCAATACACAGATTCTCGATGTGATCATTAAGGTGTTTCAGAATGGCGGCGATGCCAAGCTGGATGTGCCGCAGCCACCAAGCTCATTGCCTCCGCTGCCCACATTGCCAGTGGGCGAAGATGGCAGTGGTGTCACCCCGGCGGACCGTGCTAAACAATTCCGCGATAAACTAGGTCATCGACGTAAACAAGCCGAAATGTACAGCTTGTGGTGTGATGCTCTCTACCGCTTGTCGCTGGCACAGCATGTAAATAACTTCTCCCTCTTTTGTCTCCATTCATATTCAAATTCTCAATTCTTTCTCTTTTATAGTACCGAGACAAGGTATTCTGGTTGCCGCACAACATGGACTTTCGCGGGCGTGTTTATCCCGTACCGCCACATCTGAATCATTTAGGCTCGGATCTGGCACGTTCGATGCTCATCTTTGATCAAGCCCAGCCGATGGGCGTGGATGGTTTTAGCTGGCTAAAGCTGCACTGCATCAATTTGACGGGCCTCAAGAAGCGTGATTCCGTGCGCGAGCGTCTGCTTTATGCTGAGGAGATAATGCCTGACATTTTGGACTCGGCCGATAATCCACTCACGGGTCGCATGTGGTGGTCCAAGTCGGATGAGCCATGGCAGACCCTCGCTTGTTGCATGGAAATCGCCAATGTATACCGTTCACCTGATCCTGCAGCGTACATGAGTCGCTTCCCCATTCATCAGGACGGGTCCTGCAATGGGCTGCAGCATTACGCAGCGCTGGGTCGTGATCAGGCGGGTGCATGCAGTGTTAACTTGGCCCCATCGCCAATACCACAGGATGTGTACAGTTCTGTGGCAGCTCTCGTCGAGCGCACAAGGAAAGCAGATGCTGAAAACGGATTGCATGTTGCACAGGCGCTGGAAGGATTCGTGCGGCGCAAGGTCATCAAGCAAACGGTGATGACGACCGTGTACGGCGTAACACGCTACGGTGCACGACTGCAGATAGCCCGCCAGCTGAAAGATATTGATGACTTTCCCAAAGATTGGGTGTGGCCCGCCTCCACTTATCTGACCACAAAGACCTTTGAGAGTCTGCGCGAAATGTTCACCTCAACGCGTGAGATTCAAGACTGGTTCACGGAATGCGCGCGCCTCATAGCGGGTGTCTGTAGTCAGAATGTCGAGTGGGTAACACCACTGGGTCTGCCCGTCGTACAGCCTTACAATCGTCAGGAGATGAAGCATCCACAAAGCAAAGGTTTGCGCGTGAATGCCAGCATGTCGATGGATATGTACGAACGACCCAATATTCTAAAGCAAAAGAACGCCTTTCCGCCCAACTTTATTCATTCGCTGGACTCGTCGCACATGATGCTCACGTCGCTGCATTGTGAGCGAAAGGGTATTACCTTTGTCTCCGTGCATGATTGCTTTTGGACACATGCGTGCACCGTGCCGGAGATGAATCGCATCTGTCGTGAGCAATTTGTGGCTCTTCACTCGCAGCCAATTCTCGAGCAGCTGTCGGAGTTTATGAAGAAAACCTACAGCTTCAGCAATGCGTAAGTAATTTTGAGTTTTTAATCATCATGCATATATATATATATATATGTGTAATTCTTTGCAGTGACTTGACAAACGATGGCTCTGTGGAGGATTTATCTAAGCGACAATTGAATCGTATTCTTCGTCAGCTGCCCCAGAAGGGTGACTTCGATCTGCGCAATGTTTTGGACTCGGTCTATTTCTTCAGCTAGTTCGAATAACTATAACAATGGTGCCTAACTACTATTAATTTAGTCATTTACTTTAAGTCCCGAGTTTTGTTAAATTTGTGCAACAATTCGAAAGCTTTTAAAACCAAAAGAGAAAAACTAACATAAATTACTTAAAAACAAAGACCAGTCAGTGCAGTATATGTGATTTTGTAAGAGTTTACAGACAAAGCAAATACCTAATATTATAATATACTAAATTATATTAAATGCCTATTTATGTATTTACGATAATTGGTATTGAATTAAGGCATCGCAAAATTGAGGCTTAGCTAAAAAAATGAGTTAGAGCTTATCAATAAATTGTTATAAAACATTTTAAAGAAGTGGATTCTATATTTTTATTAGTTAATATTTAATAAACTCAACAGTAAATCACTCAAAATTGCTCTCAAAGATTCAACTGTTAACTCAGCTGTTAGCTATGCTCATTTAACAGCGCTGTTAACTATCGCCACTTTCGCTCAGTTGTGACGAGCTCTCTCACTCTCACTCGGCAAACTTTGAGCGCCACCCCATGTCCACTTTTCCTTTTCTGTTTTGCACGGGGCTGCTGCTGCTGCTGCTAACTGTTGTTGTTGCGCTCGCTGCTGCCGGCGACCGGCGCAGCGTCGGCATTTTCTTCGGTGCTTCGTGCCGCTCGTGTGCGATTCGCGCTGCCTGCTGTTCGCTGCTAGCTGCTGGCAGCTCTGCTCTGCTCTGCTTTGCTCTGCTCTGGTCTGGTCGGTGGTCTCAGTTTGAAAAGTTCATGCGGCGCGTTAAGAACGTAACGGTTTCTACGCAGCGGTCAGCGGTCAGCAACTAGCGTTAATTCGCAATTTAAACAGTGCTAACATACAGCAAACGCATCTTTATTGTTATTTGCATTTTTGTGTCTCTGTTTTCGTGTTTTCTTTCACATGTTATAACTTTATACAACATTTTTTGTTTTGTTCATACTTCGTGCGAAGGCATGCGGCAACTGCTGCTGTTGTTGCTGTGTGGAAGCGACATTAAGAAGGTAAAAAATATATAAAATAAAAAAAAAAAAAACCAGCTGCTAAACTTTTTTATCGCATATCTCACAGATACGCGTTGCCCGCTATTACGGCTATTGCTGCTGCTGCTGCTGCGGCTGCGGCTGCTTTAGCACTGACAAAGTGCAGTGCAAATAAATTTCAGCACATTCGAAATTCGAAAATAACAGCGACAAAAATGCAAAAACGAAAAAAGGGGAAAATAAAAAGACAATTGTTTATTTTTCCTTTATATTCTGTTTGTACTGCATTTTGTTGTATCTTTGGCATTGTCGCGCTTTTAGTTTAGCTTCTGTGTGTTTGTGCATTTATTGTGCACAATTTGCGCTCATAAATGCATTAAAATAAGTATACATTTTGTATTCTTATCAGCGACTTGCAGCTATCACAAGCTTCGTATCATACGCCACGTATCATATTACAATTAATTCAATTATAAACCATGCGCCATGCAAATTACGCTACAGCAGCCAAGCCAAGCTCGCAGTAGCCGCAACAGAAGTATCTAAATGTCTCCCAAGTGTGCGACTCGATGATTGTGTGTGGGTGGGCGGGGATTGTGGGTGTGTATGGGGGGAGGCAAGTTTGATAAAAACCACATGCACCTCATACAATGTGTTCGTAATTGGGGCAATGTCTATTGTCGTTTATCTGCAACGAGGCGTGCAGCAAAGACAGTTACTCCCTGTCTCTCTCTCTCTCACTCTTTCTTGCGCCATCTGTCTCTTTTAGTATGATAAGTAACCACACTTTAATGCATTGACATTTGATTGAACGCTCGAATTGTTTCATTGACGCTATTTGGCAACTGATTAAATTACCATGACGTACAGCCCGGCGTATACGTAATATGAGTGTTTGGTCTGCGCGTCTGATAAAAAGTTTACATTTAAGAGCGCTTAACTCCCTATTACAATCGGTTTTTTTTTCTTCTCACTTTAAATTTATTGTTCCATTTTGGGCTCTGTATTATAAATCATTTGGAGCTTGTCACATGAAACACTGAAAATAAACAATAGAAAGCTTCACTCGTTAGTGCTGCTACTGTAATATGGACAGTAATAGAGATTAGCTGAAGGTGACGCTGTGAGGCTTACAAGGATTAGCTTATCTATATAATGTAGCAAATATAAAAATACACTGCAAATACATGGGTTTTACAAATTTCTGAAATATATGTATGTATTTAAACTCGTTCGTTGTGTATAGTAATCCACACCCATGGGGAGCGTATCAAATCGAGTTAAAATGTTTCATCTACGGTTTGGAAGCTAATTGTCGAGAGATTGGAATATATGTATGTTATTTGGGGCTCGCAACAAATCAACCATATTAATTATCCACGCCTAAAAAGAAAAATTCTGTTTACGGCTTTTTAGTTCACACCACCTTTATATAAATTATATTCAAAGGATAAAGTAGCCAAAAAATAATATATTTTTAAGAATATAAGATTTTTATAAAACCAATTAAAAATAATTTGTAATTAAAATTTAATTTTTTATAAAAACCAATCCACTTTATTCGGCTTTAGAAAACAGTGAATTCCCCAAACTTCTGTGCAATATTTTATAATTCATAAAATTTCGAACCGGAAACCCACTTTTTTTTATCGCTTTTCTAAAATTTTGATGAAGCATCATGTCGCAATTGACAACAAATTGCGTAGCATTAAAGGCCTAATATAAAAGCTATAAAACGGAATGTCTAAGATTAAGAGAAATTCCCCGTGGGCAAGAACTGAACAAAACAAAATACTCTAGCCAAATATGCAAAAGACATTTTTCTGACGCACTTTTTGATAAGTGGTCGTTATAAAGATTAATGCCCGAATTGCCTGACGAAATTATGAGACCTTCGAACGAATTCAAACTCCGTTTTGGTTCCGATTTGATATGCCGAGAAATTGCATTGATTTAGATTTTATTCAGCATTTGCTTTCGTCTTTTGCTTCATTTGGACATTTTCTGTTGCTGCTGTTGTCCGGCGTAATTTATGAATGCGAATTAATGAGCCTTTGGCATGCTGAAAGGCATTTTGCCTGGGGCGTAGGGCATAGGTCTGGGGGGTCTAGGGATGCGGGGTAGCATTTGGCTTTTGCCACTTGAACTTGGCCGTGACAGCCTTCCAGCACTTTGTTTGGCTAAATTGCGATGGGCCAGCGGCGATGGTGTCCGCTTAGGGTGCCATTATTGTGTCCATTTCCGTTCACAGATTTCCGGTGATTATTTCTCCAGTCAATGTCCACTTGATGTGCCGTCGTTGACTTATTGAATTAGAAGCGAAATGATCCTGCACAGGCACGCGCAGTGCTTAATTAGAGACAGGTAGGCAGGCAGGCAGTCAGGCAGTCAGGCATTCAGGTAGTCAGGCAGCTGTTCCACTTACCCTAATTGAAATTCATTTTGGGCCACATGTACTGCACTCAATCAAGCGGGGTGTGTGGGGCATATGGGGTGCGGGCGGTGTTGTCAAAGCCGAAAGTCAAAAATTTCAACTGACATGAAGCTATTTATGAAATTTGCCGCTGTTATTGCTGCCATGTATCGATTCAAGTTGCGACACAGTGCCAAACACAGCGGGCAGAGGTTCGAGGAGCCGCGGAAAGGGAAGGGCTATCAAATAATGCGCCATATGAAACACAGACACTCAAACTCACACACACTCACACGCACACACTCGCAGAGAGATAAATTCGTGTGGCAGCCTAGGTATTGAAAAACCCAAAACCCTTACCCAAAATATATACAGCAGAAGCGACTCTAATGCAAAGCCACATAGTAAAGTCAAACTAGCGGAAATCGTTGAAAATAAATAATAATGGACAA